TCCATACGGAAATCTGCACATGGATGCTTACTGCAGCTTTATTTATAATTGCCAAAACTTGGAAGCAGACATGTCCTTCAGTAGGTGAATGGATAAACAGACTGTGGTATATCCAGATAACAGAATATTATTCAGGGCTAAAATGAGCTATCAAGCTATGAAAAGATATGGAGGAAACATAAATGCATATTAGTAAGTAAAAGAGCCAATCTGAAAAGGCTACATACCATATGATTCCAACTCTATGACATTCGAGAAAAGGCAAAACTACGGAGATAGTAAAAACATTAGTGGTTGCCTGGTGTTAGTTGAGAGGGAGAGATGAATAGGCAGAGCACAGAGGATTTTTTAGGGCAGTGCAACTACTCTATGATGCCATAATGATGGATACGTGTCATTATACATTTGCCCAAACATATAGTACTTAGAACACCAAGAGTGAACCCTAATGTAAATGAAACCATGGACTTTGGGTGATAATGATTATGTCAATGTAGGTTCAACGGCAACAAATGTACCATTCTGGTGGGGAATGTTGATAATGGAGGAGGGAATACAGGTGTGGGGGCAGGGAGTATATGGGAAATCTCTGTACCTTCAGTGTAGTTTTGTTGTGAACCTTAAAGTGCTCTAAAAAATAAAGTCTATTTTAAAGAGATAACTTGAAATAGATCATAGACTTCAACGTAAAATGTAACACTATAAAACTTCTAGGAAAAAAACCAGAAAATTTCTAGAAGAAAATCTCTGTGACCTTAGCTTAGGCAAAGTTTTCTTAAAAAGGACATCAAAAGCACAATGCATAAGAGAAGAAAATCATTAGCTGGACTTCATCAAAATTAGAAACCTCTTATCTTCAAGATCACTGTGAAAATGAAAGAAGCCACAAACTGGAAGAAAATCTTTATAAAGCATATATCTGATGAAGGACTTACCCAAAATATATAAAGAACTCTCAAAATTCAATAATAAGAAAACAATCAACCCGATAAAAATGTGAGCAAAAGACTTGAAGAGACCACCAAAGAAGATATAAAGATAGCAAAAAATACATCAAAAGATACTCAACACCATGGTCATTAGGGAAATGCAAATTAAAATCAAAATGAAATATTGCTAATGACTAAAATTAAAAAGACTAATAAAAATGAAAAAGAAAGACTAATCATACTAAGTGTTGGCAAGAATGTGAAGGAATCATTATGCTTATAAATTGCTGGTAGGAGAGTAAAATGATACCACTTTGGAAACAGTTTGGCAGTTTCTGAAAAAGCTAAACATAGGTCTACCATGATCCTGCCATTCTATTCCTAGGTTCTTACCCAAGACTAATGAAGGCATATGTCCATTCAAGGGTGATATGCACATGTTCACAGCAGCTTTTAATAGACAAAAATTAGAAACAACTCAAATGTCCATCAACAGGTACATACATAAATTGTCGTATAGCCGTACAATGGAACACTATTCAGCAATGAGAAGAAGTGAACCATTGTTGCATATATCAACATAAATGTATCTCCAAATAATTATTCTGAGTGAAAGAAGCCAGACCAAAAAAGACTATATACTACATGATTCCATTCATTTAAATTCTGGAAAATGCAAACTACTCTGCAGAGACAGAAGCAAAGCTTCTGGGGGGAGGGGATGATGGACAGGCAAGGGATTGCAAATGGGAATGGAGAAACTTGGGGAGGGTGACGTATATTTTCACTATCTTGATTGTGGTGATAATTTCATATTTATATACGTAGGTCAGAAGCTTATCCAATTGTACCCTTAAATGTGTGCAGTTCATTGCATGTCAGTAGCTGTTTATCTCAGTTTTCCTCAGTAAAGATATTTTTAAAAAAAGAAATAGAAAAGGAAATCATTATATACTAAAAGAAAATAAAATATAGCTCAAGTAAACTATTTTAGGTTTCCTGACATCTAATGGCATCAAATATTAGAACCTGTTTCAGAAATGACCAAATTTTACATTAAACACTGCAAATTATTCCCAACCTATCTTTGATAGTATTTCTATGTAGGGTTTCAGAAATTATAAATCTGTTCAAATATTTTAAGCAAAAATTAGAGTGATATTTTACTTTTCTGTCCAATACCTACCCATTAAGAGAACTCTAATTTTTTTCAATCTATGTGCTTCTTTCTGAAGAATAATTTAATTTTAAGTGATTTTCCAATAATAAAATTACTATAAAGATAAACCTGATATAGCCAGGGGCCAGTGACAGTTAACAAGTGACAAAATATATCACCCACATGAATAAAACTGGTAGAAAATTATTACAATTCTCCTCTTGTTACAACCTGTACTCATATCTGATTTCTTATCAAAACAAAGAGTTAAAAAACATGCTACTGAGTAAGAAAATATTTTTCTTGATGCATAAAACTTGGACAGCACTGGAGTTAATTGTAATGAGCTTTGGGATATATTTGAATGTGGCAAAAAAAAACACTGCCAAAAATAAGACTTCTAAATCCTATAGCAAGGCTGTGAAATAAATAGGTAATAGATATTATTGGTGCTATAAAACCCCAGGCAACTTGTTCAAGGTCACCCAAAGTAACCAAGTGAGCATGTATACATGAGGGAAAAAAATAACAGGTTTTAAACAATAACTTTTTTCTCCTCCTACCAGCTACAGTGGTAGCTATTCACGGTGCAAATGTCCTGGGGCACAGAGACCTACCTCAAAGACAAATCAAACGGCATGCCCCTCTCTGGCCCCAGTTCCAATATTTTTAGACAAGTAAAATCAGGTCTAAATGAATAAAAAGCTAAGGTAATGGGTTGGGCTAGAGAAGCCTTCTCTATCTTGTCAGGCCTTCCCAACTAGAAAATAAAAAGTGGGTAAATGGGGGAACAACAAGAACAATTTTCTTGAGTAAAGCAAATGTATCAAAAGCTTAAGGTTCCTTTTTATGATTTTAATCAGGTGAACTACTCATTCTTCTTTTGTGAAAGCACTTAGCCCAGAGCTTGGCACATAACAGGGACTTAAAAATGCTTTTTTAATTTTCCCTGCTCTCCCAACCCAAGGGCATCCAGCTTTTTGCTGACAAAAACTCAGCGTCCAGACCACTTATGAAGCATAGCATTCAGGAGAAACCCAGAGGTTAAGTGCAAACCAATAAATCATGAAAGAACTAGAATCAACTCCTAAATTCTCTGTATACCTTATGACCTACAAAATACAAAACTAGAAAGGAACTGGAATTATACACTAAGGGTAAAAGGGAAAATTCTAAAATGAAACTCAAGTCCTAAGAAACGAAAGAAAATGTGGGTGATTATGTAAGAATTAGAGACTAGAAATAAGAAGAAGAATATAAATACTTTAGAGCTATAGTGCATCAAACTCATAATTTGTAAAGAGCAATCACATGACAAAAATACTCAAAGCTTTAAGCCTTCCTTGGTCTTGGAATGTCATGAGACTTTTTTGGCTAAAAGAAGGAATGCTTTAGTGAGAGAAGGAAAAAGAATTTCCAGACCTCTAGGTGGCTCCAATTTTTTAAACAACTACTCGGCTACCTTAACTAAATGTTCAGATGATATCTAGTTATTTATGCAAGTCACATCAACAACTGGACAGTACTAAACATCCTTAGAACTATAACTCTCATTTCTCTACTAGTTTTCTCTATCTTCCTTTGAAGTGTGGCACTGAGTGATCAACAGCTGCTGACTAATGTATTATCATACGACGTGTAAAATAATATGACATAGTAAGATTTCTTTCAGTAATCCTGTGCTGATGAAAAAAAAGCATAATTACTTTAATGATCTACTTAGAAAAAGGATTATCTACAAAAGAAAATCATAAGGGTAACACTAATTAAAAGGTATCTCAATTTATTACTCTGAATTTTCCACAGAGCCCAAATGCATTAATTTTGCCTAGGATCTGCAAAGGCTGTTTCATATTACATATAACACCAGCAAAGAAGAAAAACAGGAGAGTGTCAGTCTGGCTTTTCTGTTATGAAAAGCAGATTAAACAGTGATAAAGTAGGCAATCAAGATACAAATACAAAGCTAATGTTATTATCTTATTCATTATAATAATAACCATTTATTGAGCACCTACTAAATGCATCAGGCACTGAGTATAGACTAGTGAATAAACCAGGCATTATTTTTGCCCTGGAAGGCAAGAGATAAACATTAAGTAGTTAAATAATACATAATTATAAGTTATGACAAACATTAAAAAGGAAAGATGATTGTTCTATGAGGGAGAAAATAAAGGGATTTTAAGTTACATGATGAAAAGGGTGATAAGACATTTATAAAGAGGGTATCTGAATTCGTACCCAAGGATGACAAATTACTCAAGGAGATGGTCCTAAAATAGAGACCAATAGCATGAGCAAGAGCCCTGAAGTGAGTCTGCTGGAGAACTGGATAATGTGGCTGGCAAAGGATGAAGATGGGGGGGGCAGTGGCCAAATCATGCAGGACCTTATAGGTATGTTGAAGATTTCATATTTTATCTGGAGAAATAAATGTGTTTCCTAAGAGCTTTGAAGACTTTAAACATCAAGTGACTTTTTTTTCTTTTTAGGCTGCTGGTGGGAAAAGGGACTGGAAGGGGTACAGCGTATGTGCAAAAGGCAATGCAGAAAGATAATGGTGGCTTCAAGGAGAATGGAAGCATAGTGGAGGCTGAAAATCAAACAGATTTGAAAGAGATTTTTCCATAAAAGTAGATAAGGTGGGGGGAGGTTGGTGAAAGAACAGAAGAGAGAATGAAGGATAAACTCCAGCCTTCTGGCCTGAGCCACATGTTGGATGGATGAGATGAAAAACAGAGGAGGAACTGTTTGAAAGCTTGGGTAATCAAGAGCTCAGTTCTGGACAAGTGTGAGATAATGCCATTTATTGGCTACGATGTACAAGGCACTATATTAGATATTCTACTTGTCACAGAATCCCTTTTTAGTAGCGGTATCCCCATTTTACAGAAAGCAAACTGTAGATCATGATGTTGAAGTTGCATGACGAACTCATTCGGTTCAAAGTGACAAAGTCACATCTGCCGTCCAAGTCTGGTTGGCTGGCTGTGGGGTAAGCATTCTTTCCACAATACACAGTTCTTACAAACTATTTCTACACTTAGCATTTTGAAATCTATTTAGGGTTGGAGCAAGCTAGCACCCAAGAAGAGTAAACAGGTGATACCTTATTTTTTAAATCCAAATTCTCAGATTTATGGTGCATAATGTTTTCCTTTACCACTCCCAACCCCACTCCACTTCTATCTGCAGAGTTTTGCAATGTTTTGAACTCTAGCAAGGTATCTAGGACCTTAATGTTTTACAATAAAGGAGCAAAGCCATGATGCCAGGAATGAACCATGATGAAAAAAGCAGCAATACCCAGCAGCAAACAATATTTTTACTCTCAAGCCATACATACATCAACATAAGATAGATCAAGCAGCAAACAATATTTTTACTCTCAAGCCATACATACATCTACATAAGATAGATCAATTGAGCAAGAAATTCTGAAAAATTATTTCTCAAAAATGGCGAAGGTGTTCAAGTCCAAAATTAATGCAAGCCACCCAGTACAGAAGGCTACAAAAGCTAAGAATTGAGATTCCCATTAAAAAACCAAAACTGTAAAAGAACAGAATGTTAGGCAAAAAGAAATGATACCACAACTGTATAGAATTTAATATCTGCAATTCCCAAATATCTTAACCAAATGCCAAATTCAGTAAACATGCAAGCTAAAAACCTAAACATTCTCTCGTCTTTTTAAAAGCTTTTCCCTGCAGCACAATGACACTTTAGCAAACTGAAATGCCTTTCCTATCTGCAGAGTCTCATGATTTTTTTCCTCTCTGGGCTGATGTCCCCCTCAGCTATTGAAGCCCAGAAATTAGGCTTGATTAATGAACCTAGAAAGAACTCAACCTATTACTAACAATTGTGTCTATTATTGAAAGTACCAGCTTGAGGCTCTTAAAAGGGGAGAAAATGAGGAAGGGGGAGATTTTTGAAAGGTTTTATCACCTACATTACAAATTATATTTTGGTGGGTCTGATCCTTCAACAAAATAATCAAATTACATTCAGTGTTCTTAAAGTAGAGTATGGTCCTATGCAATTTTCACGGTTTTTTGGGAGAGTCTGCCATGGAGATAAATAAAAAGTAGCATTAATATGCCCACTAAAAGAATAACACTCACACAAACCACCCTCCAAAATGATAGTACTACTGTGTCCTTCCTCCTGATTCTTGTGTCCACCTGGCACCTCTCCCTGCAGAGAGGTCTAGCTGGCATTCACTACTGCCTCACCCAGGCAAAGGACGGGATGCTGAAAATCCATTAAGAAAGCTTCCCATTTTCTATTCCTTCATAACATGACGGCCAACTCCTGGCAACCCAAAGATGAAAAACTAAAAAAAAAAGGCGGGGGGGGGGACTACCTGAGGCCTTCTACCAGAATAAATGGTTAATCCAATCGGCAGAAAAGCAGAGATCTGTACATATTTAAAGGTCCTTTCTGGTGACACAACAGGTCTAATGAGGAATTGCTGAGCCACATCATACTGGAAAATCCGTAAATGTTCCTCCTCGCTGTTACCAGGCTGGAAGAATTTTTTTTTTTTTAATGCAAGGTTTTGATGTACTGACACAGCTAACCTGATGGGTTTAAGTCAGCTAGGAAATGTGCCCTGCATCTATTTCCCTTCTAAATCCCTAAAGATCAGAGACAATACTGACCCGTAATTACATTCAACGCTTGCACTGCTCAAGATGCCATTTGATGTTGAAAAAGTAGTGGTTTAGCAACACCAGGCGGCTCTACGATGCTAAAATAACGCAACACTCGATTACGAACCCAGGTACTCGGCTTGTAAGCTCCAGTGCCGCACAAGGACCCACATTCAAAGCTCACGTCCCTTCAGGCTGAAGCTTATTAAGCTTTCCGCGATGTACCCTCGCAAAGTTTCTAGTCTGCAAAACGGAATTACTTTGAAAGTCCCTTCTTTTGGACTCCCCTCCCCAGACGGGTTGGCGGCAAAGGGAAACAGGGACAGAGGATGATGGTTAATCGTTCAAACAAAATTTTAAAACCTAAAAACCAGTCGTGTTTTCAGAGGAGAGACGTTCACCAAACCGCCACCCGGCAAGCGAGCATCCGATTTTCATTTGGAGAGAAAAATATTAAAGAAGCTATACATACGGTTCCCTGGCCAACAAAAGTGGCCTCTAAACTCCCCTGCCAAGGACACTGGGAGGAAACCGAGAAGCAGGGCACAAGCCTGTACTTCTCAAGCAGAGGCGCGTGTGTGCGGCGGGGAGAACGCGCAAAGGCGAACCCAACAGGGAAAGGTGAACCGGAGGAACAGGGAGCCCGAGGCCGGAGGGCAGAACCGGCGAAGAAACCCAAGGTGTCGACAGAGGGGCGAGGGGGCGCGGAAGGGGGAGCCCGGAGGCTCCAGGAGGAGGAGGGAGGGGTCCCAAACGCTGCCCAGAAATCGCGGCGGCCGAGTAAAGTTAATACTTACTCAGTTTCGCAACTGCGCCGCCCCCGGCAGGCCGCCTGGCGGGGCCGGCCGGAGCGCTGGGGACGCGGCGGCGTCCGAAGCTCGGCGGCCGCCCAGCGTCTGTCCCGGCCGCGCCGCCCGTCGCGCCTCCCTCCGCCACACTCGGCGGGCCGCGCGCCCCGCACTGGCGGGAGGCCCTGGCTCCCGGCGCGCCCTCTCCGCGCACCTCCCCGCCGGCGCTAAGGTGAGTGCGGACGCCCCTCGTGGGGCTGCCGCGGTGTGCTAGCGCGCGGGCAGCCTTTGCGCCGCCCGCAGGAGCCGCCTCCAGCGCTGTCGCCGCGGCCGCAGGCGGTCAAGCGAGGCTCGGCGAGGAGCGGGGCGGCGGGCGCCGTGCCGGACGGCGGAGTTGGCGGCCGGCTCGCTCCCGCGGCCGGTGCCTCTGGACTGGGGGCCGGGCCGGGCTCGGGCGGCCGGGCGGCTCCGCCCCTTCGCCGGGCCGCGGGCAGAGCGCGCGAGAGGAGCGGCGCGGGGGCGCCCCCCTCGGCCGGGCGCTCGGGTTACAGCCGCGGCTCCCCGGCTTCCCCGCCCGCGCCCCGCCGGTTCGCCGGCGCCGTGAGAGACATTGTAACGGAACTGGGACGCCAGCGCTGCATTGTGGGAGCTTTTAAAGCGGCGGGGAACGTGGCCCGGCCGCTCGGGCCCACCGGGCCAAGCTCCCCCCGGCGCCCTTAGCACGGCCCCGCCGCCGCTCGTTCCACCACACACCCAACACCGCCGAGGCCTGTGGACCGGAAAGCCCGAAGTGGTGAGGTGACCGGTGCCTACTGACTCTCACAGGAGCACAGGCTTCCATAGCCCGGGGTGAGACTTGTAAAACTGCCCTCTCCGGTCATCCCGGAAAGTAGGCTTTTTTTGCAGACCCTTAAAAAAGAAAAAGAAAAAGAAAAAAAAAAGCCCTTCCATCCCCCAAGAACTGGGTTTGAATTGCTTTTCCTCTGGAGTGGCAGTGATTCAGCGACCCCCTTCTCAGCAGCAGGCAGTGACAGAGACAGAAGACGAAAAACACAGCGAATGAATCAGACGTGAGTAACCCAAGTTTAGAAAGAGCTGGGCTCAGATTCAGAAAACTGCCTTCTCTCCCCACCCCCACCCCCAAATACAGCAAACGGTCGAGGAAGAAAACCCGTGCTTTCATCTGGAAACGCAGATACGTATGTTGTTCTCCCTAGTCCACGCCCCCCCCCCCTTTTTAAATGGCACGTAATTACTCTAGCCACTGGACAAAATTCGGTCTTTGGTCCAGGCTTGTGCTCACACATGCCCACAACTCAGCAGCAGCTATTAATTTGGAGGGAGATGGAGTGAAGATAGTGGATGAGATACAAGAAAACATTCCAATTATAAAATGCCCCTTTTAATTCTCCAGTTTTTTTTAAATCAAAACGATATTAAATTTGAAGCAAACTTGTTACAGCTCATCTTACTGAGGACCTGATTTGTTTTGTTTTGAGTTTGTGTTTGTAGGCCTTTTGTTTCTTCCTCTTGTTTTTTGACCTTTCTGGAGTTATTGCACAGCTCATTAGTTCCTTTAAGTTCTCGGTGAACTGAGGAGAGACAGAGATACTAAGACTCAAATTTGGCTGATTAAGGTTTGGAGGATTTGAGGACAAAAATGAGTTCTCTATGATTCAAATGCAAAACCTGGGGGAATTTTATTTAAGGTGATTCTGTAGGGCATGGATCCTCTTCTCAGAGCACTTTTCCAGCTTTAATGTTAACATTTCCTAAGCGCTCATTCCCTTGTCAACCTTTCACTCCGCTGAACATCAGTCACCCGCCTAATTGCCAAATCTAATGGAAAAATTTAATCCCCATTTTGTCATGCCCTTTGTGGCATTTGCCAATTTTGACCTCCCCTTCCTTCTTAGAACTTTCCTCCCTTTTATGTTGTTGCTGTTGTTGATAGTCATCCCTCTTTTGTGGAGGTCTTGAAACGGGTGAGTGATAGCTGGCAGGATTGTGGCTCTTGTTAAACTAGGATTCAGGACCTTACCCAAGGACATATACTTTAACTTTCTTAGGAGGTAGTGGCAGTAGAAGAACCTTCATCTAGTTTCTGTTGGTCACCAGTAGGGTCTTGACCTCAATTTTATCATGCGTCCAGAGGTGAACAGTGGACTGACTCGTGACAACCAGCTTTTGTGTGACTAGCATTTAAATCAGGATGAAATTTACTAAGATAGTATAACCATAACCTCTGTTTAGGATAAGCACTTATGAGGATCCAGGTACCTGGTGAGGTATCCCCACCTTCAAACCAGAATGTGTCTTACTGATGGCTGCCAAAGTCAGTGAATTTACCTCTGTCCCGTCCTGAATAAACGCAGAAAAATCTCTTCTCTACCTCAACCCCATGTGGTTAATGCATTCTTTCTTCAGTGTATAGTGCAATTTGTTTTAAGCTTTCTTAGCTGTAATCACATCTGTTAAGCCTTCCTGAGATCACACCAAATGTCCTTGACAGGACATTTGTCCAATATTGTAAACAACCCTTATTTCTGGTTTCTAATTATATTCCCAGAAGTAACCTAACTAGAATCCGTGAGTATTCATGCATTTCAAGCCCTGTGACATAATCGGATTTGATTTTCAAGAAAACAGTTGGAGAGGGTAGATTCAGAAAACAGGAGAATCCCAAGAGAGACTTATGTGGAGAGCTGGGGGAATGAGGGGGTGGAAGACACCATCTAGAGATGTATTACTACACCATTGCTAACTGTAAAAAAAGTTACCACAAACTTGGTGGCTAAAACCAAGAATGTGTTATCTTACAGTTCTGGAGGTCAGAAATTCTAAAATCAAGGTGTGGGCTGTGTCCCATCTGGAGTCTCTAGGGGAGAATCCATTTCTTTGCTTTTTCTAGCTTCTATGCCACCTGCTTTCCTTGGCTTGTGGCCTCTTCCTCCATCTTTAAGGCCAATAGTATATCATCTTCAAATCTTTCTCTCTTCTTGGGATCTCTGCGTCATGGTTAGGGGGTGTCTTTTTCTGTAAGGTAGGCAAAGAAAATAGGAATTGATGTAGATACATTTCTAGCCGTATATGTTACAAACTGAACTGATTTGGATTACTTGTGGGAAGAGATGACAGTGTTTTAATTACTAGCCAAATCGTCATAGGGTTAACTTACTTGACTGTAACATTGCTGAAGTGGTGTGGTTAGTCCAGCTAAACCTATATTCCTCTGGTGACTCATGGAACTGAAACCCAAGGTGTTAACAGACTAAGAAAACCAGGTTCACATCTGCAGTTTCTGGGGATCAGTCCCTTTCTCTGGAAATCCCCGGCAACTCTTTTTTATGGTGTCCAGTGGAGTCATATTGCCAAGTTTGAGAAATATGTGTCTAGACCAACATTTCCCAAACTGGTCCACCAGGGAACATCATCCTATAAGATGGGATGCTCGGAAGACGGTTGCTCTATGCTTGGATAAGGTCCATGGAACACAGTTGTGACTACAGTTCAGGCCAGCCAAGAAGTTTATCAGTGGGTCAGATCCATCAAGGGCAAAGTGTTGGGAAATTTTTTAATGAGGAAGTCTAAGGGAGAAACAAACATTTTCTCACAACAAATAGGTATGTGTGCTGGCAGGGATAAATTATGGACTTATGACTAAAACTTGTAAGTTTCTATATCACCTAGCCCTCCTAGCTTTCCTTCTTTTTCTCTACTTCTTTCCCCACTCTGTGCTTCACCCAGACTACTTACGGCATCATTCCCTCTCAAACGGTGGCTCAGGACCACTTCTCATTCTCTTACCATGTAACCTTGAAATTGCCTGTTACCTTTAGAGCCATCCCCATCCTCCTCTAACCTTACCTCCACCTGCTTCGTAAAGCCAGGGACTATGTTGTATTTATCACGGTATTCCCCATGCCTGATACAGGACCTGGCTCAAACTGGGAGCTCAATTAATATTAGTTGAAATAACAAACGAGTGAGTGACAATATAAATGGAACAAACTAATGTCACTCAACTGTCATACTTGTCTTTGATCTTGTCTGTAATTAATAAACATTTAAAAAACAATAAGCTATGGTATTGTGCTAGGTTCTTAGATTACAAAAATTAATATGACAAAAATCTTAGCCTTCTGTGAACTCATAGTTCATCTGAGGAAACATGCTAAAAAAGAAAATGAGGCAGGTAATACTAGTTGCCTATCCCGTTTCCTTCCTTCCCTTCTCTCTTAGTAACAAAAATCTGATTTTGTGCCTAGTGAAAAGTTTCATTTCACAACCTTCCTTGCAGGTGGGGGTTACTAAGTATAGGCCATGATATGTGGATGGGAGGTGTTGTACGGGACTCCTTATTTGTATATATCGTGGGGGGTGGGTTGCTAGCAGGGCTGACTCAAGACTATTATTGCCTGGAATATAGTTGTGATAGATGGAGTCACAGCCACAATCTTGTGACATCAAGACTACCTGGAAGCCTGAAGTCATATGCTACAATTTGTATAGATGGGGTCATTTAGAGTTAGTTAGCCTGTCTTACCAAGTCTTCATTTAGTCACTGTTACTGATAAATTTGGAAGGAAAAGGAAAAAAGTCATCTCTCCTCTTCAGTAGATGTGTGTGGAAAGCAAGTAAATATGCTATTCTTTCTCATTCTTAATGAATATCTTGTATGCATACTGAAACAAGATAAAGATCTATAAATATTGTGATTTATTTGACAAACAAAAAAGGGCTTTTTGGAAACAGCACAGTTCTCATATCTGTAGGAATTTTTAGTGTCATGATAGTTTCTTTAAAAAAAAAAAAAAAGATTAGTTACCAAGTCATAAACTACTCCTTAAAAGACTCTCCAATAGTTTGTTGGGGGGGGGGTAGGAGGGTGATGTATTTTGTTAAACAATAAAGTATGGTATGGAATGAAAATACAGCATAAACTGTAAATGGGAACTGCAGCAGGCTCTACCAAAAGGAATACTTGCAAATATATTCAGAAACAGGATTTAAAATATGATTGGGTCCTCTTTCAGTAGAAGTTTTTTGAGAGGATAATCCCATGAAAATGAAAAAGTCTTGATTTTTTTATTATAGACTAGAAGAATGGATTTAATCAGCTGAGATTAATTATAGGGGACTCTATATAAGAGGCTATACTAGGATCAGTATATTGGGGGAAAACGGTGAGTGTGGTACCTGGTGTTATGAAGTTGCATTTTTGTAAATACATGAAGTAAAATCTGGTCTGTTTGGCATTCTTCCAACCTGAATGCTATTCACCAATCTCCCTATACTTCTGCAGTACTATAATTGAGGCTTATAGTGATGACCCTGAAATGACTTCTGAATCCTAGCAGAAAGATTAAATTATCTTTTGCTTTGCCTACATATATTTAATTATATGTTTATTAATTGCAAGCTGGAAATTTTATCTGTTTTATAACACTGCTAGATTAACCAGAACATGCTTATCAAGGACCACAATAGCAGAATTTATAGTTCATGGGAGGAAAAAAAAACCCAGAAAGTGATTAAAAATAATTTTTTAAATTTAAAATTTAAATTTTTTAAATTTAAAATAATTATTACAAAATAATTTAGACTCATCCAGCCACATTTTTAAGAATTGCAACAAATGTGTTGGTTAATGATAAATGCTACATAGCTAATTTTTAAAATATGTATATTAATTACATGTTCTGTAGTAAGAAAAGTTAGAGTATGAATAAATAAGTCTTCATTTTGGATTTGATAGAATGTGGTCTGTTAGTGTCTGCAAGAGAGCAGATATTAGGTATAGGCCTAGGAATATTATAAATTAAGTTGGGTTATATGTCCAAATTTGGTTTAGGGTCCTGTTAAGTTGCTCCTTGTTTCATTTTTGTTTTTTTTCCAGAGATGTATTACTCTGG